CCTCCTCCTCCTCCTCCTCCTCCTCCTCCTCCTCCTCCTCCTCCTCCTCCTCCTCCTCCTCCTCCTCCTCCTCCTCCTCCTCCTCCTCCTCCTCCTCCTCCCTCACTCACCGATGAGCATGTCGAGAAAGAGCGCAAGCTCGCCATCTTCATCCAGCGAGGGGCTTAGAGACCTGACGACAGCTGTGAGGGACAACAACAGCTGGGGGGCGACTGGACCTGATCTCGAGATCCACCTGAGCAGGCGAGAGCTCCGAGAGGTGCCGCACACAGTCCGAGAAGGAGGCGTGCTGGGCGATACGGCACTTCCTATCAACGACCAGGAGTCAGGAAAGCGGAGGAAGAGGAGGAGGATGAAGTCGAAGAGCAGGAGGAGGAAGCGGAGGAGGTAGAGGAAGATGAGGAGTAGCAATGCAGGAGGAGGGAAGGTGAAGAGCAGGGCGGGAGGAGGAGGAGCAGGAGCTAGATGCAGCGCTTGCCTTAGGAGCTTGATGAACTTGGTGCTGGGTCGCAGCTCGGAGAGGTGAATGATCTTCGAGTTCTTGCTCTCCTCCTCCTCTCGCTCTTCCTCGTTGGGAACGAACTTCGGCTCCAGCCCGGGAAGCGTCGGAAGGAAGAAGGGAGCCTGTCAAGACCGTCACCTGCGACAGTAGCGGCAGCTGGGAACCTGCTGGGGGGCTTGCGGAGGCTCTAGAGGTTTGTTACGAGCCTTGATGGTGTCTAGGTTGGCAAGAATCTGCCACCTAGGAGGAGATCAGATCAGATCAGATGATGAGGGAGAGGAGGAGGAGGAGGAGGAGGAGGAGGAGGAGGAGGAGGAATGAGGAAGGAAGAAGATGAGAGGAGGAAGAGAAAGGTGTGTATTTGAGGAAAACGGGTGAGGGGGGGGCAAAGGAAAGAGGAGGAGCATTCTCACCTAGGACGTGGAACAGTCGAGAAGGTTATAAGCTCAGGAAGAAGCTGCTCAGTGATGGGGAGCATGGCCGGTCCTGCCGCTGCCTCCTCTGTGTCATCCTGCAAGCTCGTCAGAGAACGAGGACGAGGACGAGAAGGAAGAGGAGAAAGAGGACGAGGACGAGAAGGGAGAGAAGGAGTAGGAGCTCACCGCGATGTCCGCAAGAGGGCCGGCGGAGGAGGGAGGGACAAGTCGACAGCATGTGAAGGGCTTGAAGCGCCGAGGAAGACGTTGGCGAAGTGAGTCCGATTAGCCCAGAGATACAGACCGACCGAGTCTGGAGAAAGCTCAGCTCCTCCTCTCCTCCTCTCCTGCCCTCTCCTCCTCTCCTCCTCTCCTCCTCTCCTCCTCGTCCTCCTCCTTTGAGACGGTACCTGAGTGTGTTGTACAGACAAAATCGCCAGAGGGAGACATGCTGCAACAAGAGTATCAGGGAAGCAGTAGAGGAAACGAGGAAACAGAAGGAGAAGTTTGGCAGAAGCGAAGGAGGAG